ATGCGAGAGGCCGGGGCCTGATGCAGAAAGTCAACAGGAGCGCCGTGCTGGCCCTGCTCAGCGCCGCCAGCCTCCTCTTCCTCCTCTTCCAGCTCTACTACTACCGCTCGCACCTGGCGCTGAAGGTAACGGGGCCTTCCCGCCGCCGCGCGCTCGCCTGGAGCTCGCCCTGCCCGCAGGGGCAGCGGGAAGCGCGGGGAAACGGGCCCTGCTCCCGGCATCTGCGCCCCCGGCCTGCTCAGCAGCAGGGCTCGGCGAGGGAGAGCGAGGAAAAGCGAGAGGATCCTGCTAGGATCATCCTCACGCGGCGCCTGCAGGTCGCGGCTCCTGTTTTCCACCCGGTTTTCCATGGAAGACCGGGTTTTCCCGCCTCTCGCGGTGGTTTCCAGCGGTTTGCTCGGGGTGAGCTTTCTGCAGAGGGGAGGCACTGCTGGGAACGAAACATCCTCGTTTTGGGGGATTCGTGGTGTGCAGGAACCCCGCGCGAACGCCTCCGGTCTGTTTCCTTGTGGAAGGCGCCGGTGTTCCCTGCCTCTCCAGAGGGTTCCCGAGGCCCGCGGCAACCCTGGCGCCTGGGCTGCCTGCCCACGCGCCCCGTCGGGTACGGGGCTGCGAACGGCAAATCCCAAGCGGTTTTCCCAAGGCGGAAAGCCGCGGTGTGGCCAGGCTCCCGAGGCTGCCCCGCGCCGTGGGTCCGTGTTGCACAGGGTGCGAAACCTGAGCCCGGCCCGTGCGCATCCACAGGGCTGCCCTTCCAAATACACCGGCCACGAGCCTCGGCCTTGGCTCCACGTTGGCCATGGCTCCACGTTGGCCTTGGCTCCACGTTGGCCTTGGGTCCACATTGGCCATGGCTCCACGTTGGCCTTGGCTCCACGTTGGCCTTGGGTCCACATTGGCCTTGGCTCCGCGTTGGCCTTGGCTCTGCGTTGGCCTTGGCTCCGCGTTGGCCTTGGCTCCGCGTTGGCCATGGCTCCGCGTTGGCCTTGGCTCCGCGTTGGCCTTGGCTCCACGTTGGCCTTGGCTCC